CGACGTAGGCCCGTGATAAAGCGGCTTCCACTAGACCCACATAAGCATCGTTCCGGCCCAAGAACCAATCGTCCATTTCTTGTGTGATATAATCGAGCCCATCTAAGTAATGGTAGCCTACCGAGGTCGATAGAAAGCGCAAGAGCAAGGGCGCGCCGATTTCGCCCAGGTGGTCTAGGGATGGTCTGCATTTGACCACGAACTCGAGATAGTCTCGGTGGTTACATGCTTCTTCGAGGATCTTCACAGCTATTTGGCAGACAGACACGTCAGGATCGTAAAGTTGGGTGACAAGAAACTTGACCACCCAGTCTGCATTGCCAATAGCCATCTGTGGAGAAAGCGGAACATTTCCCACCGCGTATTTCCGGAGCAGCTTTGTCGCGAAAATACGAATGTCCTTGGAGCCCGTGGTGAGAGCCTTAGATAGCATAACCCTCAAGTGACTGTCCTGCGTGTAATCCATATTGCCCAAAAGGGTTTGGATGAGATCGTCCCGATCCCGAAGCTCAATGATATGGTAAAACATATTAAGCATATGCCACCGCTCCATCATAGCAAGCCCATTGGTATCGCTCGTTAATGTCCCTAGCAGGGCAAAGTACCCCCCGCTCAACGTGCTCGTCATCTGCTCCCGTGAGAATAAAGGCGAGGATGACGTTAGCCCGCTCATGCGATCCACTTGAGCGAGGCATTCCGCAACCTGCCTTAGAAATTTATTCTCAGCCAAATACTTTGTTCCCTCCGGGATTGACACTAGCGTGCGCATCAAGGCGCAACCTGTTCGAACATAGCGTTGATTTGGCTTAGTATTCGGAAGCATGGAAAACCTATACTTGAAAGGTCGGTAAAATCCCATGAGCCGTTTCATGAATTTTGATCCCTTGATCGCTTCATCTAGCCTCTTGGGGTTCGTGAGGGGTCCCTCGACGATGCGGTGGATGAGATCCCATTTCCACTTCAGGTAATTTACTGTGTTCAGGACATGCGTTTCTAGAATCGCGTTGCGGAACTGGGTTTCATCCATTGTCGGGCTCAGCCTGTCTTTGCTTTGGTCGCTGGACAAAAGAGAGGCGGAGATATCAACATCCACGCTGTACCGGCCTGGTCCATTCGAGAAACCGATAGAACGGGCCAACGTTCTGTTTATGCTGTCAATCTGATAGATAGTAGCGGTGGAAACATCATGGTTCTCAACGTCGAACTGAATAGCGGCGGGCAATAAATGCGGCAGGACCTGAAGCTTGGAGCTTATGTCCTGTGGCAAAGAGTGCTGGGCTAGCTTTAGGACTTCTGTCAAGAGTAATGTTGCTTTGCGTCTGAGGGACAGATCTTCTTCATCCTCGATGAGCTCAGAGAGGGCCTATGTCCGTTAGCATGATCGGCAGAGGTATGAGGCAAAATGAACGAATTCAGGAGAGGGAGGCACCTTGGACAATCCCGCATCTACTAGTGTTGCAAGGATGAGGGTAGAGAAATGTGCCGTTAGATCAAATTTACTCTCATTGTCGTCGTAGTACCCGCGATATTGTTTTGCGTCATTTTCTGACCGGAGATTTGAGACTCTGCCATAAGTTGTGAGCCGTCGACCCGCCAGGAAAGATGAGGACCACGATGGTGGTTTAATCCTCAAGGCATCGAACAAGAGCTCCATGATCAGATCTCTAGCCTGCGAATCTGGGTAGTGCAAGGACTCCAGGAGCGACTGTAAAGGTTTCCCACCATTTCTTGCAAGGACCACTAAGCCCGGCCAGGTCTTGAGCATTGCCGATATAGCTTTAGCTGACGATTTCAAACGGCCGTTGCGAACGCTGTCCGCTAATGAATCCGTAAAGGGTGCTAGAACAGCTTCTAACTCGCACCCTCCTTGCAGATGCTTCCTGCTCTGTGGAGTGTCAAGAACATGCAGAAAGCTCGCTATCAGAGATTCAGAAGCCCCGAAAGTCCCTTCTGCTAGGGCATCATGCAGTATCGCAAAGCCACCAGCGTAGGAGATAAGTTCTGGGTCTTTGACTAGAATCTCGGCGAGAGTCATAATCGAAATGTTCCTGAGGCGATCCTCATAATGCTCAGCAACAGAGACAATAGTCCGCACCACAGCACGTGAGATTTCACGCACGCCGTCTTTGACATCAAGAAAAGCTCTGACGAATTTCAGAGCTTGCTCACGCTCAATGCTCGCTTTGCTCTCTTTAACAAGTGACAAGATAACTAACTCGTCAGTGTGCAAGGAACGGATGATCTGGAGTGATTTCCGGTCTGCAATGGCATAGCGAGTCAATCTGTAACCAGCTGCCACAACTTCTTTATTGTCACTTAAAAGCATAACTTGAACACGCAAACCGAAGACAGACCACGCTAGGTCATACTTCAAGGTGGGGTGTCGTTTGAAGAGTTCGACAAGACTATTCGCGCGCTCGACATAGTAATCTGGCGACATCCCTTCAATCTCCAAAGCCTGCAATGTTTCCGCAAGAACATATGTCGGTGATTCCATCTCCGCCTCCCCGTCCTCCGGCTGGCCATCGTCCAACTCCACATTGCTACGGGAGGGTGATCGTATGGAGCTGCCCTGGAACAAAGATGACAGGCGACTCCGAGGAGGCGTGGACGGCGCCTGCGCACGTAGTAACTCCTCCTCCAGTTCATGGTGTAACTCAGCCAGTTTTCGGTTCGACGAGCTCAATTCCGATTCCACCTTTAGCCTCTGATCCTTTGTGTGCTTCGGGTTCTTGGATAGCAGCGCCTCGAGCATATTCTCCGTCCCAGTTTTGATTTTCATCTCCTTCGCAATCTTATTTCGGATCGCAGCCTGGCGCTCCTCGGTACTGGACAGGTCATCAGGCTCGACGTTACTGCTCCCTCTCCGCATGAACGTGGCATCGGCCCGCGGCGTTGTGCTCCGTGAGGTTTTCATGCTTCTAAGCTCAGAACTGAAGCTGCCTGGCCGTCCAGACCCAGACGAGGGAGCGAAGGACGGCGCTCCCCGAAAGCCGATGGTCGCACTGCCTCCCGACTCCGAACGAGCATTTCTCCCGGACCTCGAAGTCGTGCCCGACCAGCTGCCATCCACTGAGCCATCTTCTAGACTGGAATATGACCGCCCATCTCCCACAGCGCGGTGCTGGGTCGACGTCGCCGAGAACGCTGAGTTATATCCGGACGCCATAGATCTCCATCTAGCCGTAACGAATGCCTATCACCTGTCACGAATGAGAAGAGGGGTGGAGGGCCGCATTGAGCTCGGCGAGGGAAGTTCGACTGCTACCGTGAGGATGAAAGATATCTTTGTAAATGTAGATGGCCTGCGCTTGAATCGGTCGGGCGAGACAGCGGGTCGGGTTTGGAAGGGAGGGGAGAATGAGTACGCCGCGGAGAGCTCCAGCTGTTCTGTCGGAGGCCAGAGGGGGTGGTGGGGATGTATGGAAGTATGGCAGGAAAGTCACATGTACCCCAATATCGCAGACGACGGGTTTAATTCAAGATGTAAGTCCACGAGTTCCTCGATGGGAAATCAGAACCCATCCCACCAGCATCAGTTTCAGGTAGAGGTAGCTGTCGGCTGACTAACCAGGCTCATAGATATCATGGCCTCAGGCATATCTCATTAAGTAACAAATTTGAACCAAGCTGTTAGGATACAGAAGAAGAATCTCAACAATGGCAGTTTAACAACTTTGAAGATTTGTTGACCGCTGTGGATGATAAATAAGAACGGCCATGAACCACCATGCAAAATATCAAGAAAGACCTCTCAATCTACGCCGTATACTCCGTATCCAAGAAGTTTTTCTCCCCAAGAATAAATAAAAAAAAAAGATGGTAGCCCCCGGCGAGGCTCGAACTCGCAACCTTAAGATTAGACTATTTGTGGTTAGTAGGAAGATTTGGAAAGGGAAGGGACAAAGAACATACAGTCTTACGCGCTACCATTGCGCTACGGGGGCGTAGGTTCCTTTTTTCTGCAATATTTGGTTAATTGAATGCCTTGGATTTGCGTCCTTTTTGTATACCAACCCCGACAACCATTTTAGCACTACAATAACTCTGAACTCTCCACACCGAGTAACATCTGGTACGAATTCTACTAATTTTTTCCAATTTATTCACCTGCTCCACAAGAAAGATTAAATTTCTAAATTTGAAGACCCTATTTGAAGTTAACCACCGATATTGAGTATCTCAGGGCCGGGATGTTGGGGAAGCGCTGAGAGCAGTCCAGGTCAAACAAGATGATAAAACCCGGCCTCTAGGATATGCCAGTGACGGATATATGCTGGTCAGTGCTGTCTTCCTTGGGGAAGGAGTATTCTGCCAGTGTAGCCAGGCTATTCTCCCGAATTCTACACAAGCAATCAGTACATCTTGTACAGTACATGGGCAATGTTAGGGGGGCCGCACATTTTATTATACCCTGAGCATCTCTTGGTATCAGATTCGCTCGAATATCCTGGAAGCTCTCTTTTGCCGGGTGTTAAGAACTCATCATGGAATACCGGGCAACAGCGATACTTTGGACACAAGGACCGCACCAGGTTTCAGGTTCAGAGGTTAAAAACGGCAAGGCCAGATCACTGGGAAGAATTTCGCCGGCTGTAGCCAATAGATTCGGCGAAACAAGATACAGGTCTTTCGGGATAAGAAATATCAGTATACCGTGCCTTCTCGTGTGGCTCATAAGCAGCCTGTCTCTCTTGATTGCTGTCCGATTAAATTCCCACCAGACATGGACAGTACAGACAAGTGGGCGGTTAACTCGGATATCTGATGGGTAAACCTTTTATCCGTTGGAATAATGGTGCACTAGTTGTTGCTGTAACACCCCATTCATTTCTCTTGGAAACCCTGGACACCCTGGACTAATATATGTGTTTAAAATAGGAGCTTGTTCCGCTAGTTCATGATGTTTAGCAAGAACATTATCAATTACTACTAGTAGTGTATATGGCTTGTACGTGAGCAATAAAAAACATAAATTGGGTTAACTAAGTGCTTATCAAGCCCCCGTAGCGCAATGGTAGCGCGTAAGACTGTATGTTCTTTATTCCTTATTCCCTTTGAATCTACCTACTAACACAACAATAGTCTAATCTTAAGGTTGCGAGTTCGAGCCTCGCCGGGGGCTACCATCTTTTTTCCTTTTCTTTTTCTACTTTTATGTTTTTTCTATCAAAGGGTTCGTTCCTCTTTCATCTACTATCGAGTATGGTAAAATCTCTGAATGGGATTTATTCTGCTAATTCTAACTATGGGTACGGAGTTTAATCCACGATATCCCATGTCAATCCTGAAATGCCGAAAACGAGGTGGGCAGAAGAACCTGGAAGGATCAGAAAAGAAGCCTCTTGAAAGTTACAAGATCGAGGCAGCTACTACGAAACTACTAGGAGCGACCTGCGTAGCCTCATGGAAACCGCAACTTCTCCTCCGAGAGATGACTAGTAGTAGTGTCGGAACTCGACAGCGCGCTGCCAACATGGTCGCTGCGCTGACCCAACTGGCCCTTGCTTTGGAAGTACTCCGGCCCGGATTCAGCGCGAGCAGCTTGTAACTTCGCTTTTCCCCTGCTCCGCGTAATCACAAAGACGTAGAACATACACACCCCCGCGCAAAGTCCACCGTATATCATCGGTGCGATCGTTGGGATATCTGGTGTTCTCTGCGACGCATAGTGAAAGCCTATTCCACCATTGATGATGCCAATGCCTATGCAGATGCGCCCAACCCAGCGGTGTGAAACGCCATAACCCGAGGCTCCTCCAGACCTTCGGAAGTGTCGATGCTGCATGAACCCCAAGAAAGGTTGGAAAAGAACAACGGCGCCGATGGATACATACCCTATAATCGGGTGGTAGCCTCCAAGCTCGTTGAGATCCTTTTGGAGAGAGACTCCAATGATAAGTCCGGCTACTGCGAGAGAAATTGCCAGGATTTGCAAGGGAGCATGGATCCACATAACGGTATATGGAGATGGGAAGAGATGCAACAGGAGAGCAAAACCAGGGAACCACAGAACGAAAGCAGCAGGCGTCATTACGCCATGTGCTATGCGTTTCTTATGGAGCATGGCATCATCGATCTGATGCTGCTTTGACAAAGGCGTGGCATCGAGGCGCGAGTATGTCAAGTCGGTGAATGGATTCGAGGAGTTGCCACCAACGGCTGGGGTCAAATCTAGGGTAAATATGCCGTGATAATCATGCTTATGGATATTCGCAGAGATATCTCCAGATACCAGCGTTTCCTCGTAACAGGTAGCCCAACCCCAAGAGCTAGCGATACCTAATATGCTTTCTCCGTTATTTAAACGCAGGCAACTATCACAACGGATATTTGCTGTTAACATGCCATCGTGGATTCCAGAGCCTTCAAGAAGATAAGCTTGAATGGTTGGATCATAGAAGACACCCTGGTGTCCAAGTGCCTTTCGTGGAGAGAGAGTAACGTTGCCATCAGGTGAAGCATAAACGACAAAGATGTTCCCCCCTGTCATTTGCATGCCCTGACTTAGTGCCACCCATTCGATATTGGACGGTGCGCTCAGCTGCAAATAGATGGTGCCGTTGATATTTTGCACGGTGTTCTCGGGTATATTGATGCTGTATGATATCCCACCTGCTTTTGAGGGCGAGTAAGTGATGATTTGGCCCCATATCGAAGGAACTAATGGTAATCTGTCAATATGTAGACATCTTGTGTTGGAACTAACTGGAGATTTACCCAGCACCAAGGTAACTGCGAGAAGGACAGACAAGGAGCAAGACATTGTTACTGCAAGTATGCCGATACTGTGAACGGGATATCGTAAGGAATCAACCACACTTTGAGATATATAGAAGGGGGAAGCAATGCACTTTATACTATTCACTGCCATGAGCACGGTATCACAAGCCAAATGATTAGTGCAGGGAATATCACAGAATGTTATATCACTGACATTGGAATCTGTCGATGCTCCTTAGAATGACATGGAAGAATGGCTCTAGGGTAATGTCCTCGTCCAGTGGTTGCTAGTACGCTGTGATTGATGCCAAGCTGGTGGTGATTACACATTCTTATCGTACTAGTAGTGAGAGATATCCAACGTTAATCTTTAAAAAGCAAGCATATGCGTGTCAATCGGCAAACGCGGCTCTCTATAACTACCGCATTTACATATCCGATAACATTTCAGAGGGGAAGTGGGGGGGGGGGGGAAGAGGGGAAAGAGAATGAAAAAGAAAGCAAGACTGAGCCGCATTGTGTTGCTTCAAATTCCATTCCAGGGTACAGAATTCAGCTCCAACAATAGGCAGAGTCCACTTGGGGCTATCGATGATACCAATTTGTCAAGATGTCATCAGGTTGTTACACTAGTATGACCTGTTGGTGAAATCCGTAAAACGTCTATGGCATATCATGAATCAGCCTGGACCGTTGTTATGCGGGTGCTCGGATCTGACTCTTTGCCATTCCTTGACTGGATACCAATCTGGTAGGTATAATATAAATGGGACCACGTAGTTCTTCCTTTCAAAGCGTGTAGGGCATGAATTAGTATTCATAGTAGAGTGTAAGGCTTCCAAGTCAGATGGTCTAGGGTTGAGCGGTACTGGGATCGATATACTTTGAACCTATAAATTTACTAATCTATGCTACTAGGTATTGGCTGGGGAGACAGATTGGAACACGGCCTGAGTCTTCATGCAGCAGAAAGTTGAAAGAGATATTCGTCCTCTGTATTATAGGGTTGGGGTGATGGCGAATTCTTTCCCAGAAATTTGGAGGACTGAATTACATATTTCTACTAGTGATATCATGATTGGCATTTCTTCCCCCGCCGCGTTATATCTCTCTATGGTTGCGGCTGATCATTGATGCCACTGGAAAGACTTTTGACTGTGCTCTGTAGAGGACCAAGATCACTGTGCCTAGAAACCCTGCTACCGTTTCACAACAGAGAAGGAAAATCGGCGGTGAATCATGATTAGTCTTGTTCTTTGGCACTAAAACCTTCGATTCAGCAAGTCTACATGAGCTTCAAGTCGTTGATTAAGAACTGTTCTCTCAACGCCTGTTCCACTTCTCACGGTACCTGACATGCCAACAAAGCATGTGGCATAGGAAGAGCGCGCTTAATACGATCATCGCCCCGATTAGGCCGGATGCATAAAGAGCTGTACTCTACGGAGTAAATGGCAAGACGCGGTCAACGATACCTCTCGCATTGATGATATCTTAGTACTCATCTTGGGCAACCTCTGCTGATACCAGCCAGTATGTTGAAATACAATGATAAATTGTCAAGCGATAGAGTATTCGCGCAGATAATACCATTCTCAGCCTTGACATTGTGCTACATAATGTCCCAAATAACGACAATCAATCTCACTTGAGATACAGGGACTGCCAATCCAGATATAGGATTACTACTTCGTACTACCTAATGATCCCACTTTCCCCAGTTCTACACCGTCTGGCTAACTATTCTTTTCAAACCAGGCTATTGTACCACGTTTTAATGAGAAAAGCTCCTTGATCGCCGCAACAGCCAAGCTACGCCCCCAACTACCCATGATCACGCGAAACTACGAACGACCATCACGAAAAGACGTGACTACTAGATGAGCCTTCTGTACGAGAATGAAAAGGTCAGTGAGGATGAAATATACTGTCTAGGGAGTCTGGACATTTGTATGTACATACAACCAACCCCATCAAAGTGCCAGGATCAACACTCCTTTCCTATCATTGCCTGTACTCTATTGAAGTCGGGGATGGAGGCCAAGGATGGTATTAGCTTTCCGATGTTACATCGTGTCCCTTGTAGATATATCCTTATGGTGTAAAAAAAAAATGTTGAAATATGGCTCCTCACTCCCTATACCAGAGCCAAGTAACAATCAGCGCATTCGTACGACGAGGGTGCCACCATCATCTGGATGTGAGCAGTGAAATCCCTCGTAAATCTTATAAACACGGAATATGCAGACCCCCCAGGGGGTTGTGGACTTTATAGTTGTTACTCCAGGTGTCTTGATGGTGTGAAGCCGCCTTTTCTTGTAGCAATGAGGCTATAATTCGTTGAAATTTGACAACCTAATAGGATGGATATTTCTGACATCGTTCCGATATGATATGCTGACACTCTGCAAAAAAAAAAAAAAAAAAACAAAGGTATTGGAGTAATTCTGTATTTCAATTTGACGCCCAGTTTCTGCACCCCGTTCTTTTGCCCTAAACCTGCTATCCGTCTCACGAGACTCGTAGCTACAATTGTGTCCTCGTCGAACTCTGTTCTAAACAGATTCCTTCTTATCGGTCCTCTTGTCTCTACAAAATGAAAATAAAAGCGGCTCTTGCCCTCACATTCCTCGAAGGAGCATAACCGATTGTCAGAGGCCAACAGACATAACAACTTCAATTTCCGTAGCAATGCTCCCCACACCGACGAAAGCCTTCGCAGCGACTTCGTCCATCAACACTTCAAAGGACCCTTCCTTCGACTCAGTTAGACCGGGAGTTGTCCGTTTATCCGGACCCCTTTTCAAAGTTGCCGAGATCTCGCTCTCCCTAGGGGAAGAGCTAGCTGTGTTTTCTCTTCAATCTCCTGCGCCTGATGCTTCGCCAGCGGTCTGGACATCCCATGTCGACAATCCAGTACCAGGTACCCAGGTCACACTTGCAGCTCCGCTCAGGGGCGAGGTGATCTGCCCCGAACGCTGAATCATGTCACCACTTCTGTGGTTATATCTGATGCTTGCAAGAAGCCGTGTGGAGGTATCCTAATGGGATATATTTGTGTACTAGGAAGACGAAAGGTGTTTATACCTGAGATGAAGGGGGTCCTATTATAGTTGAGGATGTCCTAGTTGGCATTATTTCTTCTAAGGGGAATGGACAAGCAAAGGCAGGTTATCCTCACGTCAGTTTTAGAGTTGCGAGCCAAAAGACGCGGGTCGAGGGTGACATGTCGCTTATATTGCGTCTCCACTATGCAGAAGCTGTAACTTGGTGTTATGCGATGCCCTCAAGGAAATATTCTGACGTGTATCCTGATTTAGAAGGGATCACTCCATTATAAATTATAAGCTGCTTACTAGAGGCAGGACACCGTATCACCAGAGTAGATGGCAGGATTGCTAG